TGTTATTGCTGGATAGGAAATTTTTTTCTCCCTGTGCCACGAGTCCGACCGGAATATATGACCCAATAACTCCCCGGTTATCTGAAAACCAAACCATGGAAGAATGGTTTTCTGGGTAAGGATCTAATATGGACAGCCGAGTTCTTACTAATATGCGCTACTTATTTGATTTAGGTAGGCATGTAATACAGCTGTTGGAATCGGCCTATAGGTTACTGCTACCGTTAAACTTCTGGGTTTGGGACTAGGACTGTTGGGGTTTGTGCTATACATAGGGAGAAGGCTAGGGACGTAGGCATTCGTAGGCTTCCGGGTAAGTCTAGGATTCGGATTAGGGCAAAGAGAGGGTTTAAATTCAGAAGTTAGGCCTGAGGTTAGGGTTACTATTACGAATTGCGCGCTGCTGCGCAAACTAACTTGGCATACTTAAACAAACTTCGTTCCATTTAACATTTTTTTTACTCATTTCGCCTCCACATTTATTACCACTTGCTATTTTTTCTCGCTCCGGTAAAACTCCTAGTTTCCACCATTTCCTTATTATAGTAGACCTTGCTTGTTAGTTTGCAGTATGGCTGTACATATTACATTCCTGTCGTTCCATGTTTTACCAGCCTCATCTGGCACCCTCGTTTACGGTTCCAGAATTATGTCGGACCGCTGACAAAATCCTATTGCATAGTGAGCACCATTTGCTGTCGTGTCGCTACGAATTGCGACCCTTTATGGGGGTAGCCGATTTGCCGGACCTTAAAGTCTTGCTGCTACATCGTCCGTACGTCTTCAGGCCCGAGAGTCTGCTTATTTCGAATGCCTGTCAACTAGTCGCCACCCGTGGATGCACAGAGTGGCTAGGTTTTAAGGCAGGTGGCGTCATCCTGGCAGTCCTGCCGTCTCAAATAAAAGTGATTGTTATCGTCGGTGCTTCCAGGATATTTGCCCTGAGATTTCCTATCTGTGCGGAACATCCTCATCATCCCTCCCCCCCTCCCCCCAGAAAGAGATGAATCCTAGGCTAAAACCTTAACGCTTTAGTCTGGCACCGCTTGTAGTAACGGTGACTTCTGGCTGTTTCACCGTCTAATTACGTCATTTGGAATCCCCAAGGAGTTACAAAACAAGGACATAAAAGTGGAAGCCACTTGAATGAGAGTTTATTATGTACAAAGCTCGGAGTTGTTGTCTCGGGTGGCAGTTGTGCTGCTGGCGTTGTCCAGGGCTGGATGTCCTGCCCCGGGGCGAAGTCCGGGCCTGAGGTGGATTGGCTGTGTCCAGTCCGTGTTGCAACCCACTGTCTGAGATGTGGCAGTTGCTTATAAGTAATTGTCAAGCGCCTTCGCTTGTGGTGTGATTG